CGGGGGAAGGTGCGGGGCTGTCTTCCACCTTGCGCCCTACACTGGAAGCAATCTTTGATACGCGTTTTCTTGTTCCCTTTGTTGCCCAAAAGCCTTGCGCTTCGCTCTACGATCTCGTTAGCATATACCCTTTTTTGTATACCCAGTTTAGATTTTTTTATTTGTTACGCCCGAGCGAGATAGTACTACTAATACATCAACGATTCTTCTTCACATTCCTGGTTCGTGCTGCATCTCGTCTCGGGGTTTGTATTGCGCCGCGGGGTTATTATCACCTCGACTATCGGGAATGATCACCCTCACTCCACTGTCATGCAGCGGTAGACCATTCCCGACCGTTGCACGCGGTAGATATATCTACATGGCTCCACTACACGACGTGTCGGAATTTTTTCCTTAATTTATTCTCCGTCGCCATTGTCTGGTTTTCCTTCGCTCTTTCCCCTTTAGCATTGACGCGCAGGTGACACTCACGCTCCCGTCACACAACCCCACTCGAAGCATACCCAGGATATCCTCCATACCTGATATCCATCGCCATCATGGGTTCAATGCCAGAGAAGAAGACTATGCGTGCGCAACAGTACGATGCGCGGGACAACAAGCTCCACCTTAACGAAATACCCATCCCGACACCGCGCGAACATGAGATTCTGGTCAAGATGGGCAGCGCATCCCTCTGCCACACCGATGCCATGCTCTTCGAGCCCAACGACCAAGGTCTGATTCTGGGCAAGAACCCAGTCACCATCGGCCACGAAGGAACAGGCAGAGTAGTATCAACCGGCTCGGGAGAGTTGGCCCGAACATTCAAAGAAGGCGACCCCGTCGGCTTCCTCTGCGCGGTCGACTGCTGCTTCGAGTGCTACGCCTGCAAGAACGTACACAACGCTTGGTGCGCAACGGGCGAAACCAAAATCCAAGGGTTCAGCGCGGACGGCTATTTCGCCGAATACGCGGTCGTAGATGCTAGGGAAACGATCATCCTCCCCGAGAACCGTCAGTCATATCTGATCTAGAACCAGAATACTAACCGCATGCTAACATACCTCAACAGTCGACCCCAAGACCTCAGCACCCCTCTTCTGCGCAGGCGTAACAGCCTACCACGGCATCGCCGACTGCCAACTCCCGGCCGGGTCCTGGCTCGCCGTAATCGGATGCGGCGGCCTAGGCCACATGGGCATCCAATACGCCAAAGCCATGGGCCACAACGTCATCGCCATCGACATCACCGACGACGCGATAGAAGAAGCGCGCATCTGCGGCGCGGACTACACGTTCAACTCCATGGCCGACAAGGACTGGAAGAAGAAGATCGTAGAGCTTACAAAAGGTGGTGTTCATGCGGCTGTTAACTTTACAGCGTCAAAGAAGAGTTATGATGATTGTCCCGCGATTGTCAAGGCGGGGCAGGGGATTATCATGGTGGTGGGGATTCCGCAGCAGCCGTTGGAGTTTAATGGGTTGGATATTGCGTTGGGAAGGTATCAGGTTAAGGGGTCGAGTAATGGGAGTAAGTTTGCTTTTCCATTTGTGTGAATGATGGAGGGGAGATGCTAACGGGTGCGTAGCTTGCTACAATATGAGAGAAGCAGTGGAGTTCTCGGCGAAGCACAACATTACCCCGCATATGACGACGTTCAAACTGGAGGAGGTGCCGAAGATGGTGGACTTGATGAACGCACACAAGGCGAAGGGACGGATGGGCGTTGTGTTTGACTGAAGACGTTGACCGTACGAGTGGAAGGCGCAAAATCTACCAAATTACAAGCGATGTGAGATGGAAGTCTTCCCCCGGTATACGCTCTGCTCATCCAGGGCTACCAAAGCAAATCCATGGCGGTCCAGAACCGGTTTTTGAAAGCTCTGACCTCACACCTTCGACTATAAAATGTTCGGTCATGGCAGCTCTCTCCTCTCCTCAAGCACACTTCCCCTTCAAATATACAAAAATGTGAAAATCTATCTTACATGTGCCTGGCCTTTCTCCCCCTTCTTTTCAAAAAAAACCAACCCTACTTGTATATGTCTGGTTCCAAAGGCAAACTTCAGTTTACATGTTCCTGGGTTTGGAGTACTGCGATTACAAGCTATTGTGTCATTATTTCATGTTAAAGTCTGCACAAAAATAAAAACCCAAAACATGATCGTTTCATGTGCTGCTCTTCTTCAGTGTGCGAGTTCTATACCCCAAAACCAACCGAACGGCTTTCCAAATAGGCTTCATCAGGGTTCCAAAAGATCACCAGGAAACGGAAAATAGTTGTAAGAAAGAAGTATCTTTTGCAAATGCATAAGAATACTGTTTTCACTTCTCCAATTAAAAGATCAAGCAACGATGAAATATTTCCAAAAAGACGCGGTCCAGATTGTCATGTCTGGTCTCCTATCTACTCCACAGTCACCACGACGGACTATAAAACAGCTTCTACTCTTGTTCCTCTACTTGTCTTCTCCAACAACTTTCCCCAAAATTTGTGTCCAAAACTACCGTCCTTCCGGCTCATGTGGCTGGTTTTGCTCTTCTTCTCAAAACGTGGAAGTATTTCAGCCATGAGCGGAGCAGGAGTTCGCATAACCCAACATTCTCTCCCTCTTCTTGGTTTTGACTCTCTTCTATCCACTTCTTGTGTCTAACTCCATAAGATTTGATGTAGAAAACACATGGAGAGATTGTTTCTGCGGTAATAAAACCTGGTCGATATCTGTTTATGGCTTCGAAAGATTGGTTGTAAGATTACATAAGATTCTCGCTATGGAAGTACTCAAAAGACAACCACGTCTGGAACATGAGAAGTGTGCCCCGGGGCTATGCTATCACCCATGCTTGGTCTTAGCCAGGAGTCGGTGCACGGGCTTGGCGAGAAGTACTTAAATACTTCTCTTCTTCGACGTCTCTCCTTGCTTTTCATTCCACACAACTTTCCATATCTACCCTGAAAAGCACCCCGTACGAAGCCATGTGCTCCTGTCCTCCTCTTCTCCAAAACATCAATACCAACATTGATGGACCGACCCAGAAGCGAATCAAAATACATCACAAAGACAGCGATGTGTACTTCTTCCGTTTCTTCCGCCGACATCTCTCGCTTCTAAACACCGATACTTACAACTCATGTTGGAAAAGCACTTGGAACAAGATCCAGAGTCGCTAATTGCATGTTTCTAAGTGCAGATATTAAAACTTTGCAAAATACACCTGATGGGGCTGTGGCCTTCTTTCGCTGATCTAGGAACGGAGAGCAGACGAACATAAATACTCGCCATCCTCTGCTGTCCTCTCTCCTTCATACTACACACTTTTCGACATTCACCAAAATCAATCCCGTACAAAGCCATGACTTTCTGTCCTCTCTTTTTCCAAAACAGCCAATCAGGTTTCCCATGTCCCAGCTGAGAAGTGAACAACGATATATCGAAACTTCTTACCTGGTTCTTCTCTGAGCTACCTTCTAGTCATTTAACACTCTCCAGAATACGAAACTGCGGGATTGTGGATTCATGTTTGCGTTCTGGTGTGCCAAAAAGATTTCGTGGACGACTTTATGTCTTCGCGACAAGGGCAGCAGCTCAAAACTAGCCGCGAGCGCATACATGGAGATTGGGTCGTACTGATTCTTCAATTCAACACCAAAACTTCTCGAGAGCTGATGGATGAGCAGACTCGCGAGGAGTGGGCTATATAAACACCACTTCGGCCTTCTCTGACACTTCATCACACCTTCTTCTTCTTCGTTCCAAAAGCTCCATTTCAAACGCCCTATGGGCTAGTCTCTCTCCTCTTCCCAAAAACTGATCATCAAGCTGTTCATGCAGGTAGCTTCGACTGCAAAAGTTATCATGCGGCACTCCATGAACCAAGATCCATTCTTCAAAAACCAGTATCCGGGCTGTTTGATGACCCAGCCTTGCGGTTCTCCAACTAATCGACTACTATCAGCCATTACCTAGTAGAAGAATGGGTTAAGGACATGTCTTCTGCAGAAGACACCGCACTTCCTACGTCACCGAGAGCTTTCCCTACCCGAAATTCCCAGACCTATTTGTCATGTCCCTCCTCGAGGAGTACCATCTACGTATAAAACCCCTCTCCTCCGCCGGTCTTCTTTCTCTCTATACCATTCTCCAATTATTCATTCACCAAAATCAAATTGGAGCCATTGTATGGAGTCCGCCTCCTCTTTCTCCTCCAAAATTGCCAAAATTTCTGGAAGGACGAGTCCATGTTGGAACCAGAACACCATAGCCGCCCAGTTCATGTTTGTCGGTCTTAAATACCGACGATGTCGCTGCATGGTGGTGCCTCTGTGCGAGGAGAACTATTATAAATCGACACCGAGCCTGCGAGGACTCCGCATCCTTTACTTAAACACTCCCATTGCATAAAACCAAAACGTTTGGGTCGATAAGCTATGGGTGTGCTGGTCTGAGAACCGAACCACAAATAGCGGTTCACTGCTTCTTCAATACACCAAAACGACTACATTTCGCGATATCAAAAATTCTGGACAGAGGCAAAATGACTGTGGTTGCTTCGCTGGTTTTTCCAAAAAATAATAATAACAATACCGAGTTCGTGATGTCGGAGTCAAAAGAGTAGCACGACGCGTTCATGTTTTCCGCTGAAAGACGCGTACCGACTCACTATGGAGAGGAGACGCGCGCACGATTCCTCGTTATACCCAAACCATGGATCCAATTACGGCATGGGTGGTGGCGCTGGGACGTTCTCCAACAGCAATCCAAATATCGATCGATTACCCCCAAATGGGCGCTATGCAGACGTCGTGTCTGGACATCATGGTGGTAGCGGTGATGATGATGATGATCATTATTCTTGTTTTGTCATTGTTCTTGCTCTTCATCGTAAGGCTATAGCCAAGCACATAGCCTGCTACCAGTACACTCCACACTGCATTCTCCATCCTCCACGTGTCTTGATGCATATCGTACACCACCCCCTCCCTCTTCCACAGCCAGTCTCGAGCCTCACGCTCTTAGACAATAGTCTCCAACTCCCTCGCATACCCCAGCGTATTCTCAATAACCTGATCGCTCGTGACCAAAATATCCCTGTTCAGATACTCATCCTCCTGCTGAGGGAAGTATATCCTGCCGTCCTTGACAACCCAACCGCTCTCCTTTGCAAAGTTGACGACGCTGCCTTCCGAGTCGAGGAAGAGGAGGGATTTGGCGTCGGAGATGGGGATAGAGGGGTATGCGCGCTCGGAGCAGGAAGCGATTTCCTTGCGGATGGTTCCGATGAGGATCTAAGACGTGTTAGCAAATAATTCGGTTTAAATCATGGAGGATGTCGGTGTGTTTGGTAGTAATGACAATGACGTACCTCAGTAAACAGCGCAAACTCCTCGCCAGGCACCCTCTCGCTCTTCGTCTCAACCCACACCTTGTCGTAGCTCCCCTCCATAAGCGCCTGCTCCAGACGAATCGGATACTGGATAAACGGATCAGCCTCTAGCTTCGCGCTCGCCTGAGCGGCCGCCACCTCGAGCGTCTCGAGCAGCGTGTGGAAACCCGCGTAGTCGCCCTCGCTCAGCAGCAGCAACAAGTACAGTCCCGTGACCTTGCTCGATTGGCTGCCATCCTTAGGTAGTGTGGACTCTGGCAGCGAGTAGAAGGGCTGCAGCTGCTGGAAGTAGCGGGTAAAGGACTCGGTGTCTTTGAGGCGGATGGAGATGATGGCGCCGAGTTCGAGCGTCTCACGCGCGAGCTGCAGGTGTTTCCGCGGGGACTTCTCTTGTGGGATGAGGGCGTTGAGGTTGAGGAGGGCGATCTTGGCTTTGCTCAGTAATGAGGTGGATTGCTGGTAGTTGTGCGACTTGAGCGTCTGGTGGAGCTGCTGGAGCACGCTGGAGAGTTCCTTTTCGGCCATGGTGTGCGGTGTCTCGCTTTTGGTGGTGGTTTTAGATGACGGGGAGGGTGAGCGCGGGGATTGAGCGGGTTGATGGCGTGGTCGGGTTGGGGTGTTTGTTGCGGCGAGTGGAAGCTTCGGTGGTTTACGTCGGGGGACCGTCGGCGTCGGAGGTGCTGGCCTTAGCGTGGGCTGCGTGCTCACCGACCGCCACGGCGCGTCATACCCTTCAAACGTACGATAGCGAATATATGCCATAGTCTTCACTTGTTGTCAAACACGCTGAACATGTTCCTGGGGATATAATCATAATCTGAACACTTTTCAAGATATAAGCCTGACATCCCACGCGTGCCAGGCACCAACACATGCAGATGACCTAGACGGTCACATTGTCCCAGCGTGGGAATATCACTATTGGCGACTGGTATGCTTTGGTATTGGTCTACTTCTGTTTGCGATACTGCAGCTGACATTCCTTCTTGCACGTTTTAGAGTCTGCCTTGCATGACCGATTGGGTAGTCAGCACGCCACGCCTTACCTTGTGCTACCGTAGAGATTACTCGTGTGAAAATCTTCTACGCAGAGTACCGTATCGGGGCATGCAGACATGTCCATGGCCTGACCGGTTCGTAGTTCCAACACATCTCACCACCGTCAGACGGAACATCGTCAAATCATGTCCCTTTTGCTTATCTTCTTCTCCCAAACTTTCCCTTTCCACCTCCACCAGTCGCTGCCTTGCCCTTGATGTTGAGTCTCCGATAATTGGCATTTGCCGTAGCCTTGATCTTTCGGGCCGCCGTCTTCAGGACGCCCTCTTTGACCGGCTTCTCCTTTGCTTGCTCTGGTTTCTTTGCTGGCACTTTCCGTCTCCTCGGGGTATGTGAAGCGTCACTCGCGTAGTCGGAGTCTCCATCCAGATCAGAACCAAACTCGTCTGCTATGTCTGCTGGTACTTGTGTTTCAGGGACGGCTGCTTGCTCCTCGTCTAATTCGTCATGTGTCTGTACGGCTGGTATTGGTTTGGGCTTTACGACGTTCGGACGCACTGAGAAGTTGTTAGTCATGTAGCTCTTTGGATGGAAACAGCACATCTTACTTATCACTCGCCGTGTCTGCCTCTTCAAGCCCTTCTTCTTCCAAGCCTTTCGCGGCTTGCCGTCACGACCAAGTTCTGGCTCTTCCTCGCTGTCTTCATCAGACTCAAGGCCTCGGTCCGGGCCTAGGGGCATTGCCGCCTGGCTATCTTCGATCAAGATCTGCGGCGCTCTAGACTTCTTGGGTACGGCGATGCCTTCTTCCTCCATTTCCAGTTCGCGCATGATGTCCGCCTCTTCGTCAAGTTGGTCCTCCTCGTCTTTTCTCATCGCTTGTATCATGGAACTCAAACTGCGCCCCAGGCCGCGGCGCATCCAGGGCGCAGGACGTGATATGGGCTCCTCCACCTCGTCGATAGCGCTCAAGACATTGTCTCTCTTCAGGAACGCAGGTGTCGCTAGGCCTCTGGTTGTAGATGATGGTGTACCCTGCTCGTCTAACCTCCTCTTTTTCGGTGTGACGAACTGATTCAGAAGGAATCGCTTCCCGGCCGACAGTGGTGTCCGCTCCCCCCGTGCTCTCGACTCCAGCGACGTCTCGCTTGCTGCATCTTGTAGTCTTCTACTTGGTGTTTGTGGTACATTCAGTCCTACGTCTCCTAGTACGGTCCTCGGTTTGCTCGGGGTGCCTTGCGCGAATGGGAGCTGGTCGAAGAGACCTAGCACTATACCATCGCGCTGAGGCGTGGGTCCTATGACGGAAGGTCCTTGTGGGGAGAGCAGCTCGGCTGCGTAATCGACGTTCTCTAGTGTATCTTCATCCTCCCTCTTCCTCTTCATCGGCGTGGAAAGATTGGGTTTGGGCGCGGCTTTTGGTGTGCGTTCGACATCGAGGCTCGCTTTTCGGCTGGGGGCACGCTTCGAGGGGGTCTGCGGCGCGGCTTTGCTGGATAATCGTACTCGTAGCTTGTTGTACTCCTTGTACATTTGTGCTGCACATGTTCAGCAGGACACCAGTGCTACTGGCGTCGCTCTATACGTACAGATGTCGGCATTGGCCTTGATATCATCGCGTCCCGCCTTTCGACCATTGTTTTCGGCGGCGAACTTCTTTTCCCAGACCTTCAGTTCCTGTCGTAGCACAGTGCAGCGCTGTTCAATCTCGTCGTTACTCATGTCGTCTTGTGTGGGGTAGGAATGCGTGAAAGCGGAAACGCGAGCGTAATTGATTTCCGCATCTCAAATCGCGGTACGCGTTACGTGCACGCGACAAAACGCCACTAGCAGGGATGTCTCAGCCTTGCCGGCTCCACCCGCGGGCATCATCACATGCACATTAATCCCGAAAACTCAATTGGCAAGCATGACGCATCAGATATATTCTACAAAATACTATTCACAACTCCCTGCTCGCGCGCTTGAGAGCTCGAACATCATGTCGCTGATGCAGAAAGGGAAAGCCGGACCAAAAAAGGGGAATCTAGTAGTGAACAGCCTTGTCGTAGGTGGCCATGGCAGCCTCCTTGAACGCCTCAGCGAGAGTGGGGTGAGCGTGACATGTGCGGGCAACATCTGGGACATTGTTAGCTTTGTTCTGCAAAGATAGATAGTGTATTCGGCTCACCCTCTGAGCTGGCACCGTATTCGAGAGCAAGAGTGCCCTCTGCAATCATCTCACCGGCGTTGGCACCAATGATATGGATACCCAATATCCGGTCCGTCTGAGCATCTGCCAGGAACTTGACCATACCCTCAGAGTCGAGGTTGGTCTTGGCTCTTGAGTTGGCGGAGAAGGGGAAGGTTCCGTTCTTGTACTTGATACCGGCCTCCTTGAGCTCCTGCTCGTTCTGGCCAACCCAGGCGACTTCAGGGTGGGTGTACATGACGGAGGGAATGGCACCGTAGTTCACGTGGCCGTGGCCCTTGTGGATGTATTCAATGGCGGCGACAGCCTCCTCCTCAGCCTTGTGGGCAAGCATAGGTCCGAATGTGCAGTCTCCGATAGCGCGGATGTGGGGAATCTTGGTGCGGTACTCCTGGTCGATGATCAAGCGGCCCCTGTCGTCGGTCTCGAGGTTGATGTTGTCCAGACCAAGACCGGAGGTGTATGGGCGGCGACCGATGGCAACGAGGACGACATCGCAGTCGATCTGTAATGGTTAGCATTCTCTTTAAACACAAATGCATGCGCTGGACGTACGGTCTCCTCCTTTCCACCCTTGGCGGCCTCAACGCTGACGTTAACGCCGGCGTCGTGAACCTCACCAGCGGTAACCTTGGTGTTGAGCTTGAACTTCAGACCCTGCTTTGTGAGGATCTTCTGTGTCTGCTTGGCGATTTCGTTGTCCATGCCAGGGCCGCCGATTTGACCCAAGAACTCGACAACGGTAACCTCAGAGCCGAGACGCGACCATACGGAAGCCTACGAATCGTTAGAAATGCCATATGGTTCAAAAGAGGATTCCTACCATCTCAAGTCCGATGATACCACCGCCAATGACAGTCATCTTCTTTGGCACTTCCTGGAGCGCAATAGCGCCAGTGCTTGTGATGACCTTCTGCTCGTCGATGGTCAAGCCAGGGAAGGGTGTAGCCTCGGAACCAGTGGCGATGAGGATGTTCTTGCCGCGGACGGTGGTCTCGCCACCCTCGGTCAGGTTGACAGCGACGGTGTGCTCGTCCTGGAATGCGCCAGTACCCTTGATGTATTCGACGTTGTTCTTCTTGAAAAGGAACTCAATTCCCTTGGTGAGGCCGGAGACGGAGGTGTCCTTCGCCTTCATCATGGCGGGGAGGTTGAGCTTGACATCGCCGACTTCGATACCGCGACCCTTTGTGTCGTGGAGAATCTGGTGGTAGAGATGCGAGTTGTTCAGGAGCGATTTTGAGGGAATGCAGCCGACGTTCAAGCAGGTTCCACCGAGGGAGCCACGCTTCTCGATACAGGTGACCTATCGCCGTGTGAGCTTTTGAACTGCGCAATCGCCATGTCTGTCGTCGCTAACCTTCATGCCCGCCTGTCCTGCCTTGATGGCTGCGACATAGCCTGCGACACCACCACCGATGATGACTAGGTCCTTGTCCTCTATCCAGCAATCAGCACACAACCCCTTCTAAAGCCTCGCAGTAATGCGACTTACCAGCCTCCGACGCATAGCCTCGTCGTAACCGGTTCTGGAAGTAGATGTTGGATGCGCAAAATGTCTTTTGGGAGACGGGCCGCGTCGCCCTCTGCATGGCGCGGGGTGCCAGTGAGCGGAACATGGTGGAGACTACCGAAGAATCGCTACCAAGAGAAGCCGTGAAGTGTACGGCGGGGATGACAGGCGTCAATGGATGGGGCGTGGGATGGGAGATGTGGTTGAGCTTTTTGCGGAGCTCGGCCGGGAAGGTCTATGCGGCTTCCGTAGGGTCAAGGGTGGCGCCAAGCTGACAAAGTGCCTCACGTCTACTCCGTAACATCTTCGTCTCAGTGTCCCGGCAACCGGTATCGCATTACTCTATATGGCAAATAAAGGGTATTCTGGCTACATGTAACGGCAATGACTCATCCCTTCCTATTCTTAGTCCTCCGTCAACGTCGTGGTGGCCAGTACTCTCGTCAACATGTCTATTATTGACTTGCAAGCCCATCGAACAGTCTCTCTCTCATGTTTCTCGACGATCTCTGTCTTGCTGACAGTCTTCTTGAGAAAGAACTGCAGCCCAGCAATCATCTCAGGAGCCTGATCCACCTCCACGAATACTTCGCGTACTGCCCGCTCGTCTCGCTTGTCCTTCGATTTGGATGCCTTGAACGACTCCAGAATCGTCGTGACTAGCAAGACTTCGATGAACGTCTTGGTTTTTGGCTGCAAGTAAGGGAAGTTGAGGTTCTTGAGGCTAGTGATGGGTAGAGCTTTCCGGCCGATCAGTGTTCCGTACAGTTTGCCTTGGTTGACAAGTTTGCGAAGAGATGTGTCACCACCTGCATCGTCATCGTCATCATCCGAGTCATCTGCGCCATCTTGCTTCTCTCCTAGACTCTTGAAGATATCCCATAGCGCAAATTGGAAACTCTTTCGTGTCTTGTGATCTGAACAGACCTTTCGAGCGAGGACTGTGTAGTATGGGTTATAGGTCTTCTCGGCGCCTGCGCAATGCACAATGACCCGTGGAATTTCCGCCTCCTGCGATCTCTTGAGGTTGAGCTTGTTCAGTCGTATTTGAGCGTCTTTGAAGTCGCTGGCAGACATGATAGAGACGAAGATGGCGCGTCGGATATCAGTGTTCATGCGGTGTTCGCGGGCAAGTTGCACGAGGTCGACTTCGCTATCGTCGTCCTCAACATCGATGGTTTTTGAAGTCTTGCCAGATTGCTTTGACTCCTCGGGCTTCTCCTCGTTTCCGGGTTCATTACGCCAACTCGCTCCCACTAGCCACCACTTGCCTCTTTTATCCGTGTCTTTGATGTCCTTGAGGCCAACGCGTAGCGGCTCGGTTGCTCGGAGGTTTCTTGAATTCAGAGTACCCAACTGCTTCTTCATGCGTATCGTATGCTCTCTTGAAAGTGCGGAATTGGCTACGCCTGTCTTCATCTTGTTGTTCTTGAGGTCGTTGATCGTCTCGATCATGAACTTTGTTCGGACGGGTAGGTTGTTCTGGCCAACCTTAGCCACAGACTTTTGCAACAAGACGACAATGTCTTTGAGTGAAGTTGGATCATCTTGTCGCAGTTGTGGGCCCGATGCCCTGACTACTCTCAGTAGGAGTTCGGTATTGATCTCCGTAAGTTCGTCTAGGAAGAATCGGATGTAGTCAAAGACGATGTTGCTGCCAATGACCTGGTACGTGTATAGCTCCGCCACTACAGATATCAGGTTTGCCGTCTGCTTTCCATTGCCGTCTTTGTTCGGTTGGTAGTGTTGGTCGAATTCTGCGACAATGCGTTCCACTATTTGCGCGCCAAAATCAGGTCCGATGACTTTGTACACCGCAGCGATGAAACCAGCGTGTAGGTTTAGGAAGGTGTCAAGGAGAGCTGTCGGATCCGACAACATGCCAACGAGCAGGTCGACAAGTGTATTGTTGACGTAGCCTCGAGGGTTGTTTTGGTAGATGTTCTCAATCTCTTTCAGAATAGACAAAATGTTGGCTTCTGAGAGCCTGTTGAAGAGACCCTGGATCTGCCTTTTGAGACGCAGCAGAGCTTCTGTATCTGAGGCAGGGGCTGCTCTGAGCGCAGGTGGTATGTACTTGGTCGGTTGGGCGTTCGCGGCTACAGGAGCGATGTATGGGTTCTCTCGTATACGTGGTTTTTCCGGTTCTGCATCCTCCATGTCGTCGTCCTCATCTGAGCCCAGGTCGTCTTCAGAACCGTCCTCAGTCTCGTCGTCTTCGTCGAAGCCTGTCTCTTCCATGTCCACGTCGTCCTCGTCAAATGCGGAACCTTCCGACTCGCTGTCCTCTTCCTCACTCAACTCCTGACCCAAGGCTTTCCGCCTCTTGCTTGCAAGCCAATCGTCGTCCTCTTTCCTCTTCCGCTTTGTAGGTTGGGCATCCTCTTCGTCACTGAAATCTCCAAGGTCGCCGAATATATCGTCCAGACCATCGTCTGCTCCCTTGGACCTCTTTTTGCTCTTCACGCCTAGCCTCTTCTCCAACTTTGCAATCTCAGCGTCATCTTGCGCCAGCTTTTCCTGTGCGGCGCGCGATAGTTTAGGGGGCGGCGGCGACGCTTCCTTGTGCTGTGAGGGTTTCGCTTTGAGGATGCCCTTCAGCGGTTTAGGCGACTCCTTCTCAGCTATCGGGGGTGGTGTGGCGTCGGATTCGATGTTGTCCCAGTCTATCTCCTCTTCCTCGTCGTCATCGTCCGACTCGGGTTCACGACGTGGTCCGCGGCCATTATGTGGATGCGAGGGTGCTGGCCGTCTGACCTGCTTGTTCTGGCGCTTCTTCTCTACGCGATCGGCCTTGCGCTTGTCTTTGCGATTCGGTGGACCATTGCGCGGTCCATTTCGTCGGTTGTTGTTCGCTGGGTCTGCTGATGTTAGCACTGAAACGTTACCAGAATTAGCTGAGAGTATTACCGAACTGATTTCTCAATTCCACGGGCAATTTGGGCCCTCCGAAAGCTGTGCGCATGTTGAGATGGTCGAGGCGGTACGGTCGCAAAAAAGTTCGAGAAGTCGGAGTTTGGGTGAGAGAATCCCCGCGTCTCCGCTCCACACGGACGGCCGCGGGCATCCCACCATCCATGCAACCAACTACTACATGGCGCGCGCACGATAGCACCCGACTTTCACCATGGCGCGAGACCACCTAACCAACGAGGAGGTATGAGAAATCAATTAATGAAGCGCCTGTCCAAGGCTGACTGTTGCAGTTCTTCACACGGCTCGCCAATCTTTTCGAGTACACGCGCACCAAAGGCCACGGCAGCGTCTACCTAGTCCAGAAGCGCATGACATTCGGTACCGCTGCTACACCTCCTCCAGCCAGCAAGATCGCCGACGACCCATTATGGGACACACATCCTGACGAGCCATTACCTGTCCTGATTCGCGCACACAACAACGGGAGCGACAAGAAGGCAGGCACCGACAGAGAGGACATCCCCAAGATAATATTGAGCACGGTGGTGAAGCCAGACGACTTGGACGCATTCTACGCACGGTATGCCGAGGCGTGTAAGACAGGCATGAGTGGGCTGAAGAAGCGAGACAAGAAGAAGGCGAAGAAGACCAAGAAAAAGAAGAAGGGCGAGACCAAAGCATGAGGAACATCGGAAACTACGAAAGCATGAGACGCACAATAAACACGTCGTTGTTATAAAGCACCGATTGATTGATCTTGAGAGGTCACGCGGGTAGCATCGAGAGTATGTCGCTAGGGGAGAAGTGCTACTGGAAGAAGGCACAACAATGACTTGGACGAAGAGATCCTATCAAATCCGGCACCAGTGCGCGAAGACTCTCATGGAGTACAGTGCACCAGAAGATACCACTGAATCATATTCATTCTTCACAATCCCCACCATTACTCTCACAATGTCTCCGCCGTCTTCTTGAACATCTTTGTGCTCACAGGCAGTGGTTGCCCCATCCAGGTCGCTCTTTGAGTGTGGTCTCTCAACTCATCGTCGGTGTTTGGGTGAATCAGTGCAGACAATGGCCCCCTGTTGATCACGAGCCAGGGAACGAAAGCACCGAACTGCTCTACTAGTCGTCAGCATAGGCATAGAGGTGAGGTCTTTCGATACATACCGGGCGTGAAAATGTTGACCTCGAACATGGCGAGAGGATGGGGTCCAATAGGCCGGTCCCATACTCGGTAAATGCGCAATTCGGGGACTTCGTGTCGTATGAGCATCCTAGCATATTGAGTATATGGATATTGTCCTTACATTCGCGGCGTATCCGTTCCCACAGCTCGTTGGCGAACTTGACCTCCTCATTATCAGACTGGAGGAAGTAAATGTGGACGCTAGTTGCTGTCAAATACATAGATAACTGCATCTCAAATTTAAGACTTACTCGAAGCCTCCTCGAATTCCGTTGGTTATAGGAGCTACAAAGGACTTGTATGCTTCGCTTTTCTTCTCGGCTGGTGGGTTTGCATAGGATTTGCCATCTTCGGCCTTCTCACTTGAAAATGTTAGCCTGTGCTCCAAACAAATATGTGATCGTGGTCGCAAGGTATCACAGGTAAAGTGTCCAAGGGCAACATACTCCGGCAATGGCTCCATACCTTCGTAGCCCTTCAGAGGAGACGGATACGTGTAGAGATTTGGATCGGCCATGTTTCAAACTGAACGCTATCTTGATGTTTGAGTGCACTTCTCTTGTTTTATCGCGTAACTTTTATAATTGACAAAACAATCAACAATACGCAGCGGAGGTCTTCCGTTTGTCAGCGCGGAATTACAGCGGCCTTGGTTTGCAATGCCCCAATGCAGTCAGTCAGCCCATGTACCAAGTTACAGATGCACTCATACATATGGCGTGCATCATGTCAAATCGTTCTATCATGTGAGCTTGCGTGTTAAGTCCAGATTGTGATGTGAGACGAGTGAGCCGTCAAGTCGCACCAAAGCATTACGTTCAATCTGGGCAATGAGCGATCATTGGGAACACATCGTAAGCCGACGGGGAAAACGAGTCTAGTATACAGCTCTCTATCAATGGGAAACGCATTGATATGACTCTTCACCGACAGATAAGGAGGCGGCGCAGGAACTATAAGTCCTTATCGATACATGTCGCGCTTCACATAGGCGTGCACGGAGCCTTGGAGGGGTGAGTCAAGCACCCCGCGGCCACCCAATATATTTCGGAGCGCAACAACCACCCATTGACCACCCCACGATACCCCAATCCCGCAACCATGGCTGAAGCCACCTACTACATCGACGAAGACGTCGGTCACGACACCCCAGAGCAAACTGGCGACGAATCGCTACCCTACAAATCACTCGGATACGCTGTCCTCACCCGCGGCGAGACAGCCAAGTTCCTCACCCGCAAGAGTGTCACTGGCGAGATTGCAGAGGGCGCCGACGCGACATCGAGGTTAGAATGGAAAGATGCCGCCAAGTCGGCCATGAAGAAGGCCGTCAACTACGCCAAGACGCAGAAGAAGAAGCAGGAGAAGGACCAACAATTGCTTGCGCAGCGCATGAAGGAGGAGCACGACCGCAACAAGGTGCTGGATGAGGCTAAGAAGATTGTCATAGAAGAGGACAAGAGCCTGCCAGCGCCCATCAAGATCAAGCTCGACGACACCGACGCGAAGAAGATTACACTGGGAGATGGCAAGGACACAAAGGGCACACGTGTACGCGTCTTTGGTCGTGTACATCGTGAGCGGAGACAAAAGGATGTCATGTTCGTTACCTTAAGAGACGGCTACGGTCAGATGCAAGTCATCTTCACTGGAAACCTCGCAAAGACCTACGACGCCCTCACCTTGACCCGCGAGACCAGCATGGAGATTTTCGGAGAGCTGAGGAAGATCCCAGAGGGCGCACACGCACCCAACAACCGCGAACTGCACGTCGACTACTACAAGATCCACGATGGATGGAAGGCGGCCGGTGGTGACGATGCCATCACCAACAGAGTATCAAAAGACACTGAGCACGCGACACTGCTTGACCTGCGACATCTCACTCTCCGCGGAGAGACAGCCTCCAAGGTCATGATCGTCCGTGATGCCGTCGAGTTTGCCTTCAACCAAGTCTACAAGGAGATGCGTTTACGCAAAGTCAGCCCGCCCGCGCTCGTTCAGACGCAGGTCGAAGGCGGCGCCACGCTCTTCAAATTCGGCTACTACAACGAAGAAGCCTACCTCACACAGTCCTCCCAGCTCTACCTCGAGACCTGCCTTCCATCTATGGGCGACGTCTACTGTATCGAGAAGTCTTTCCGCGCCGAGAAGTCGCTCACGCGCCGCCATCTAGCAGAGTACACGCACGTCGAAGCCGAACTCGACTACATCAACTTCGACGACCTACTCAACCACCTGGAAGAAGTCATGTGCCGCGTCCTTGAAGTCACAATGGCCGACCCTGTCGTCAAGCAATACATCATGGACCTCAACCCAGAGTTTCAACTCCCGGAGCGACCGTTCAAGCGCATGAAGTACCAAGACGCCATTGACTGGCTTGTCGAGCACGAAATTCCCAACGAAGACGGCGAGCCGCACAAGTTCGGTGACGATATCGCTGAGGCTGCTGAGCGTCGTATGACGGATATCATCAACAGGCCCATCTTTTTGACCCACTTCCCCACAGAGATCAAGGCCTTCTACATGCTCAAAGACAAGGACGATGCGCGGGTAACCGAGAGCGTCGACTGCTTGATGCCGGGTGTTGGAGAGATTGTTGGAGGTAGCATGAGGATGGACAACTACGATGAGTTGATGGGTGCGTTTGCGCGTGAAGGTATCGATCCTGCGGCGTACTACTGGTACACCGACCAGAGGAAGTAAGTTATTTACCCACCCACTAATGCACCCATCCATGAGTTCATGATCCGCTAACACAGCCCTTTAGATACGGTTCCTCACCCCACGGCGGTTACGGACTCGGTCTCGAGCGCTTCCTCGCCTGGCTCTGCAAGCAGCACACCGTCCGCGACTGCTGCCTGTACCCCCGCTACTTCGGCCGCTGCAAGCCTTGAGCAAAGAACCCGACGTCCCCCTTCCACGCATCTGTGCCCCAAAGCTCTCGTCCTGCAGAACGAGATGAACTATGAGTTGAACTGATTCGTGCGACGTGGTTTCACGAGAGCCAGGCTCCCGCTTGTGCCAGCACACATGGCCTCCATTGTCTTGTCTTGTCGCATTAGACTAAGACGAATGGGACTGAGTCGTAGATGAAATCATATCCAATCAACATGTTCCCATGCGCCCCCGCCTTGTTTGTGTTTTGTTTTTCTCCGGTCAAAGACTCTGTGTTGCAGCCTCATTGATGTATACACACGAAGTAGGGTCGATAAGCCATCAGCAGTTGCCCTGAGTCTTAGTTCGCTGCTTATCGTGCAACTGTGTGCGACGTGTCTAACATAGTGAACCCGGTAAATCCCCCAGTTGATCCGCAAAGTCTCCTGCTCTTCTTCATTGATTCTCACGAAAGTGAGTCGCATGTTCACATTCACGTCAATTTCATTTGTGCGGAGGCACAAGAAAGATCATAGACACAGCATCCACCCAGTTCATAGACCGACTAAAACTACATGTCTTCCTAAGATACCGCATCCAGATACCCTCCCCTCCCTTCCCGTTTCGAAACCAGTATACAAGCTTCGCAAGTATACTAGTTAAAGTGAAACCGGTCAAACCCGCAAACAGCGGAGGGGTGGGAGAAAGAAAGTTTAACACTTTGGCTCACGCGTTCAGCTTCCCTCCCTCCCCCAGAAGAACGCCGAAGACAAGGACGATAAAACGAAAAAAAGCTCCTCACCAAGAGCTCAAAATGTACAAAGTAGTACCCCGTATGAAACTCCTCGCTATGCAGTTGTGTGGTACAGCGAAAGAAAAGCGTCCCTGGCAAAAGCGCGCAGGGACTTGGCAGTAGATAGCTGTCCGTACCGGCAAACAAAGACGTATGGGTGGGGGAACGAGCGAGCGCTGAATTCGCGCATCGTGTGCAAAACAGGTGATCCGCCGGAAACAAGGTACGGGGAATGGGGCAGAGAGAGCTTTTTTTCAAAAAAGAGAGCAAGAATCGTTGACGTGTCGGGCAAGGACCGTGCCGCGCGTCCGTTAGCGAACAAGTGTCATGTTCGAGTACGGAAGTTGAGCGGGTTGGCTGAGCTGACGGCTGAGCATTCCCAACGACTTCGCCACGGACAGCCTAGGAACTATGCACTACATTGACGACAATGTTTTAGAATAGTATGGCGGAGTTGGAGTCTTTGGGGTTGAGTGCATGAGGAGTGTTGTGGGGGGCCCAGATGGGTCCAGGTTGCGCGGTGGCGTCACGACAACCAGGCTAAATGTTTAGGTTCAGATCCGGTGTGCTTGAGCAGGAATCAAGCTCCAAGTCGACGCTGAATGAGCTGCTGCAGCATCTTCAACTGCGCGCGCTCGTCATCAGTGGGCGGTGGTGGGTCTGCGTTGGACATGGCGGTGATGACGGCCGGGGGAGCTTCGGACTGTTTCACGTGGATTAGCGCCGAGGATCAAAACAAGGCCGGTGGGCCACAGGTTGTCTTACAGTGAGACCGAGGATGAGCGCTTGAACTGTGCCCTCACCCAGGTTCATCTCTGGCGTCTTGTTTGCCAGCTGTGCCAGAGATAGTGCTGCTTGCTGCTGCTGGAAGTTGTGCGCAAGGAAATTTTGCATGGACGCTCTGCGCTGCGATGCAGCTTCTGCGGACTTGCGGGCTTCGGCCTTCTTGACTACACGGCCACTGCGATGTGTTAGTGACTAGTTTAATGAGCTGCTGATGTGACTTTGTATACCTCTTAACCTTGCTGACGAAGTCAAGGATGACTCCCTTCTCCGGAACACGGAAGACCTTGGAGTTGACATCCTTGGGATCGTTGTCACCAAACACATAATTGCCTTCGCCATCAGTATCGTCGTCAGGATCGTTAGTGATATCGATCAAGCCATTGTTGCGCATGCCACGTGAAAAGGTGGGCTCGACATATTCGGGTTGCTTGCGTACTCGCACTCTGCGTGGCACCCGAGTTACCGGCGCGGCATCGGCCATTTCAGAATCCCCATCTTTCGAACTCAGGTCGTTCTGCAGCAATAAACCGCTGCGAAGGTCATGCTCGATATGTCGGGGACACCTCCAGGCATCCCGCTGCGATGCCTCAAGGCTGATGTGTGGTGGGTTAGCGAGAGGCGGGTCGACGCAGTCCAAGTGCCAGTACGCGTGACAAAAGTCACACTTCAGCATTTGACGCTTGTGGCCGCTCGACACTCCGCACTGCGTGCATAAAATGACTTTGTGATCAACATCAATAAGTCTGGTGTATTCGGGCTTCTGGTAGCCATAGCCACTGTTCTTCGCTCTGTTGTGATGTTAGTGCCAAATCACGCGACAGAACGCGTCACACTTACAGTGGAAACTTCTTGACCTCCTCAAAATACGAGCCGTCGGGACGTGCAGAAACGCCCTCGAAGTTATTTTGAATATCAGAAGGTAGAGCAAACGCGCGGGGATTTGTGCGCTCAAGCTTGCTGAAGAGGGGACCCAGGCTAGGATACGACTCTGCGGCATCGTCGGATGCAGCGAACTTCGTGTTGCACTCATAACAGTAGAACGCTCCATCTGGAACCTCTGTTCGCGGCGGATCGCAGCAGAGAAGGTGAAAGACGCGTGGACAGTTTTCGCAGCACACAAACTCGCCTGCGCCTCTACACGCAGAGCAGAAGTCGTCGCTCTCTGACTGTGGCGAGTTCTGACATTCTGTTAGAGGTGAAGAAAGGACAGAAAGTGGAGGAGAATATGGAAATTTGAGCGGCGTGATGTCTGTAGTGAGCAACATTGATGTTGGGGATGAAAAAGAGAAATTGTTGTTGATGAGTTGTGTGGTGGAAGAGGAATGGTGTGGTTGGATGCTTCGGGAATCCAGTGGCACTTACCGGGTCATTGTCATCAGGCCCCAACTGTCTCGAACCGCCACCACCAGTAAAGGCTACACCAGCAATAGGTCCTGCGTCTCGGTTTTTGACCGGCCTATACGTGTAACAGTTAGCCTTGTAATGATTTGATGACATGTACGGAATGTACGATGCAAACACGTGCAAACACGTAGAGCTTGCTCAGTCGACGCTTACAGCCCTGTGCTGAACCGGGTACATGCATCGACCAACGCCGAGAAATTGACAAGGATGCTGAAAAAATGAGCTGAGAATACTTACGATCGTTTTGTCCTGGCGCCCTGCCCGTTGGTGAGCTTGACCCGCTTAGGTGCCGGCCCCACTGCTGGCGTTGAAGGACGCGACGACATGGCAGGCTCAAACTGAGGTGAGGAGAAGCGCGACGGATCCTCTCGCAGGCGCTTGGTTCCATGATTTGGAACTCGTCCGGCGCGTCGTGGTTGATCAGAATCAACTGGTGGTCCCACGGCGATTTGAGAGTCGGTCAGAGACTCAGTCTCAAGAATCTCGTCATCAAAGCGAACATCTGAGACGGGAGGAGGGAACTGCTCGAACTTGCGAATAGGCTGCTGGTCCACCATAGCTTTTCGCATCTCATAGATTCGGTCATCTTCCGCTTGCTGTTCTGCGGTCGGTGGCTGTTGCTTGTAGGCATGCTTCCCGAACAGCTTCCCGGCATTTCCTTTCATCTTCTTGGCAGCACGCGCAGCCGCAATATTCTTTCCCTTCTTCGGTGGCACGACAGGTGCAGGTGCAGCAGCTTTGCCGTTTACCTGTACAGGCTCTGGAGGGCCTTTCTGGACGATCTCCTCATTGACGTCCGACAGCTCAGAATCGCTCCCACCGGTATCCGGTGTCCTCGCTGCTGGAGTGGGTGCTCCGGTCGACAATCCTCCCTCAACATTCATGGCAGAATCTCGGGCCTGAGTTCCGTTGGTAGCGGTGCGTTTTCTGGGCGACTTGGACGGCTGTCTCGGCGTTGACTCATTTGAGGTATCCGCAGTGGCTGGAAGAGCGGGTGCGCTGCTGAATGGGTGAGGTGCTTGACCGGAATTTTGGTCAAGAGCTGATTGCAATGCTTTATGCGAAAAGCTTGTAGCTGAATTAGTAGAGTCCATGAACTTTCGATCTTGGTAGTCGTTGACGGCGGAGGCAGAGTCATCAGGAACAATTTCACTACTAGCCCTAGGAGACGGCTGCTGACTGAAGAATGAAGCTCCGTGATTCATCGCGGATTGCTGGTCAAAGCGCCCGTTCTTGCCCAAACCCATCCTCGCCTTTTCCTCTTGCTTGAACTGCTTGATGAACCTGCGAAATCGGACCATCTGCGCATTGGTGCTGTTTCTTTGAATAACCGATTCGATCGCGTCTGCCAAGTTGGAATCGATTTTGCTCTGCTCGTAGGCGCGCCTCAAGGCAATACCCACGTAACGCTTGCCCGAGTTGCTATTGGCTTTGGAGATCGCATCGTTGACCGCAATCTGAATGCGCTGAGTTGCAGCCTCAACTGGCTCCGACATGGAGACTGCCTGTACTGCCGGACTCGCGGAAACCGAGGCGCTCTTGGTGTGACCGATTTTCATTGTGGGTGTCTTGCCGTTGATAGGTGTCTTGCTCTGCACTGGGGTCTTGCCCCTGACGGGAGTTTTCGACACCTTCACTTTCTTCTTCGGTTTTGTCGCGGGCTCGTAGTCGTCGTCCTCGTCGTCTTCCAGGATAGGGAAGGCGGCCTGCATCTCTTCCTCCTCCTGCCGCTCCGAGTCGTCAGGCTCGAGCTCAGGAGCTGGAGTGACCTCTGGCGTCGACCCAACCTCGTCACCACCGAAACCCAAGCTCTTGCCCAATAGCGAATTTCGGGCAGCCGGCCCGTCGAGAGCGCGCGCGCGCTGCTTGTCCTTGGCCTTTGGAGGGACACCGAGGGGGGCCATATTCTCCAAGACGCCGTGCCGCGCAAACCCGTGCTCTTCGAAAGATGGGGCCAGAGTTTGCGGTTGGGGTTCAGTCCACTCGGTAATTGAACGCTGCTTCTTCTCGTTGACGTGCTCGCTCGGGGTGCCGGTGGGTGAGGCGTAGGGCGTGGTGCTGGACCTTTGTTGCGATTTGAAGTCGCGCGACTCCCGGAGAGACTTGCGGAGGGCCGGCATGGCGAAACTACAGTTTGGTCAGCGCGCTATAATAATCACGAAGACGGTTAGACTTACTTCACGTGTTGTCCGAGAATTTACACGCCGCAATGCCGTGCCCGTCGTTGTGGGTCGGTAGTGCAGGAATGAGAGTCGCTGAAGGTTGTTCGAGGGTGCCCTGGACGCTTGGACGGACCTTCTTATTATGTCAGCCCCCTACGCATGCGCAAACATCGCCATGTCTTACTGTCGTCAGGAATGAGATATATGAATAGCCGGAAGCTTCTTCGATTGTCGGATTATTTTTTCAGTTCTGACAAAGGCGGGGTGCGGTGTTGGTGCAACGATACCAAAGAATCCACGATCTCTTGTCCGCTTTTTCCCTGACGTGCCCAAGTTCACCTTCACCAATCGCCACTTGCGGATCTGTCGTACAATACGTGGGCGCGCGCCTGAATAGAGATGATATTATTGACATTGTTCCTGACTTCACTTCGATAAATCTCTATAGCACAATCCTGTCTTTGCATGATCTACTCAGGGGTAAATTCTGTTCCATGCTTTACCTCACTCTACACCATGCTTGGCTATACGCGCAGAGCACCATAGCTTTCGTGTGCCGTAGCGAACAACATAGCCATGGATCTCTTGTAGCTTCTCTCCATTTGCCATGTTCGGCGTTTGGGGGGGACAATAACATGACGGGTGGACAAGATAAACCGAAGACAAGAACAATGACGCGAAGCCGCCCAACATCCGCTCCGCCCTTCACCATAGATACATCGAAAACAAAAAGCCGCTTCTGCATTGACAGCCATTGATGGCGCGTCCACGGTCGCTTAAACATAAGGGAAATAAAGTTGTGTTCGTCTGTCAAAGACTCCCCAGACCACCTGGTACGATCTCAGTCCGTGAGCCGTCCGTAACTCCTTGAATGCGCGCGTGTTAGCTATCAGATCCTACATTACTCAATATCACGTAAGAAGCGAAAAATGCTGGCCGGTAAATAGGTGTCTGTTTTTTTTGGATTGTTATCGCTTCTACTTGATCAAGTGCATGAGCACAAGACAAAGCACATCAGACCTGGGTCTTTTGCCGATTTTCTTTCCGATCCTGCCGTTTTCTGCAGTCACCAAAAAGGTCCGTGTCATCCAGGCTCATAGTCGAGAGGCGGGTATGGCGTCAAGGTCTCCGCAAGCTGCGTCTACTCCTCGTCGTCACTTTCCTCCTCTTCGGCAGGAGCAGCACCGCCGTCAGCGGCCTTCTTGGCGGGCTTCTTCTTCTTCTTCTTGTTCTTCTTTGTCGAAGTCTTTCCAATGGGCTGTTCGAGAATCTTGAGGATCTCCTCGTCCTCAATCTTCTTGTCAGACTTGTACTTGGAGGTGTCGATGGCAGCGGGTTGAGCCAGACGCTGCATGCCGTTCTTGGTGATCGCTGTTAAAATGTTAGCTACTGAAGCAGGTTTCATAATCCTTCGCAATCAAGCGAACGAGGGTGGAAATATGGAGATCGAGCAATCGACCACATCGGCCAATATCGGGCATCTCCGTGCACAGACAGAGCAGGGGAATCCTCGGACTTACCAACAGTGCTGAACAACCTAGCTACGGGCTGGTTGTCCTTGTCAACGACAACTTCGTACTGGCGGAGCACACCCGTGCGGACACATTCGACAACACCAACCTTGGCAGCCTTCTCGTCCTCAAGCTGGCGCAGACTGAAGGGGAAAGTGCCGAACTTCTTGACAACCTCAGACAACAGGCTTCGCGAGGTAGGGCGCTTGAGCTGGTAGGTGGTGGCTGTACGTCGGTGCAGAGTGGTCCTGTTGCTGTTGCTCTTGACCTTGCCGCTTCCGAGACTGACACCCATCTCAACACCCCACACTTCGCCGACCTCAGGGAGACCCTCTCCTCTGACACCCTCGCCGGGCGCAAGAATGATCTTCTTCTTGGACTCGATCTCGTTGTGGTCGAATTGCCAGATAGTGGTGCTCTCGACGAGGTTGCAACCGTACGCCTTGACAACCTTCTCAAGCATGTTGGTCATTTGGCTCTGAGTGTAGGCCTTCTTTGACGCAGCCTTCTTTTGCTCCTCCTCGTCGCCGTGGGGAACCAAGCCTGGCGGTACCATCAACCTCAGCAGAAGCTCGTTCGCGTAGTGTGTAGCCAAAATGAGATCTGCCTCCCGTCCGGTGACCTCGTCGGCAGCTCCGACAATGACATTGTCGCAAACGATCGCGCAGAAGCCATCGATCTGGGCACCGAGCTGGATCTTGACGACCTCTCCCTCCTTCAGTGTCACTGCGGCTTCCTCGGCATCGGTCTTGAGTGGTGTGTACGGGGTGATGTAGGCGCTCGGCGAGATGGTGGTGCAGTGTCCAATGCCCTTGAGGACCTTCTTGCCCTTGTAGACCTTGGCGACCTCCTCGTCTAGGAGCTTGTCACCGCGCTCACAGAGCTCGACAATGCTGGCATCAGCGGCGATCCATCCTGGACTGGTCAGTTTGTGTTCGTGTTTACGCGCGGGAAACGAGCGCAGGTGTGGGGAGCGTCGTACCGGAGACCTCTTTGAGGACCTTCTGGGAGATGTCGGCGGCGACCTTGTACTTGGTGATAGTATCTGGGTTCGCCAGAGTGTAGTCTGCAATATGGGTTAGCTTCTGCGACTCATTGCCAGCACAAAACTGAGGTCGAAGCTCTTTTCGTCTGAATAGCTTCTCATGTCGATGGCATTAATAGCGAGCAAGGATCGAGCTTACCGACAGCTGCTGTTTCGGCCATCTTGAGTATAGTTGAGTGTGGGAAGATGGTCTAGGAGCTAGAATTGGAGTGGTGCGCGAGGTCGTTCCTGTGTTCAGACCAGCCCCTCAGTGGGGTGCTTTCGAGCTTTCGCTTAGCCAGAGCCCAATGACGATGATCGCCTGCCAACGTCACACTCGACCTGCTTTGCTTGTTCCTGAACTAATTACCTTGCGTAAGGAAACTGGACTTGTGGTCATTTGAGTTACATTTTCGAGCTCGTATTTGTGGCCTGAGTTGGCATTTCCATGATTGCAGTGCAACTTCACTGCGGTTACGCAGCTATATGTATGCCACGCTGCTGACAGCTCCGACAGCGTGCCATCAGCTGCCAGACATTTCATGACATCGAACATAGTGTTCCTGGCAAATAACCACATCCATGCTGGTGAACTCGTACCATACCATTCCCACTCTTAGGGTGTACTTCGCATACCCACAGAATATTTACAGAGCAAGCACAAATTTCTGCAAACCTATGGATCTTTCATCGATACAGAATCGCATTCATGATATAAGATCAAAGTGTCATCCCCACAGACATCTCCCTCTCCCTCTCTAAACCTGCAAAATCCCATCCACAACCACCGCCCGATGATCACTAGCATAAACCCCATCTTCAAACCGATTCGGCAACACACTATACCCCTCAACACCCCAATCTCCCTCTCCCCTCGGTCCCACAAACACAAAGTCAATCAGCGCCTTGTCCACATCATCGAAAGCCGTATGCGTATTCTCATCACCATACAGCCACTTAGCCTGCTCCTTTGTATCTTGCAGGAGAGACGACGCGTTATTCAGCATCATGTACGCATCATCAGTAATCTCAGAGTTGAGGTCGCCAGCCAGGAAGAAAGGCAAACCAGTAGACGAGTAGTTTGACGCCGGGGAAGCGATATCCGCAGCAATTCCTTCGATAATCTTCGCAGATTCGCGGCGCGAGATGGCGCCCGAGTTGTCGAAATGCGTTGACATGGCTACTATTTCCTTCTTGCTTGTCATGTGCTTGAACGTGCCGATGGTCACGATGCGAACCGAGCCTGCGTCCCAGCCTTTCTTTCCAATGGCGCCGTCTTCGTTTAGCCAGACGGTCTTCCAGGTCACAAGTTCCCAGACGGCTGGGCGGTAGATGACGGGGCTATATTCGCCTTCGGTTTTGCCGTCGTCGCGGCCGACGCCGATGTAAGCCCATTCGTTGCCGAGGCCCGCCATGATGTCGACGATTTGCTCGTTGAGCACTTCTTGTAGACAGATGAAGGCTTCGGGGTTGTGGAGAGTGTTGTAGTGCAGCTCGTTGAGGATCAGTTGTTTCCGTGTTGACCAGGGCTTCTCGCCTGCGGCGGGTGGATCGGCGGCATAACGGATGTTGTGGGTTAAGATTCGGATTGGGAGAGTAGCAGCTTGTGCTTTCATAATGCAGGCAAGCAGGGTGGTGACAAGAAGCGCTGCGTTGAGCATCATGACGACAGGCTACTAGGTAGGCATTACCGGAACCGAACACGTGACGGAGTGAAGCGGGGACGATGTTCTCTCTGGCAACGACTGCGAAGAAGGCTTGCGGTAAGGAGATGAATAGAGGCCTTCACAGTATCGAGAGATGGCACTTGCACGGCCTTGATATGAACAACTGTAATTGACGCCTACCTACATCGCTGCGTCGAAGACTACCAACCCTACTTATACTTTACAAACGACACCAGCAACTAAGAGAAGAAGGAAGGTACTCAAAATAGTGCCGCATAATGACGAAGGCTTCAAACTATGCCAACCCTCCGTGCTATAATCCAAGAGGGGCCCAAATTTCCGAGTTGTAGCCGACAAATGAGAACGCCGATAGACAAGCACGTTGTCCGCATGCGCAACTCCACGTGATCCGCTGTTTTTACACGGGCTTCTATACCCTGGATGCGCTTGCCAATATGAAAAACGACCCCGCTATGCTTATCTGAATATCATTTCCTGTTTGCGCAGACAGGCAATCTGAATGCTAAGCCTACAATGGCTGACCAGTCCGTTTGCGCACGTTCTCCATGTGTACGCGGTTCTTCAGATGTAATTCAAAATTATTGACGGTCTGTTCGGGCCCAGCGTTGTAAAGCTTTCCTGGGCAGTCTATGCATCGAATTCGCGGGAGGAAATACGCCTTGTGGTTCGCTGGCAGAGGAGCGGTTGGAGACAGTGTATCTAGCTTGACTTGTCTGGACACCATCTCGCCAGTCTTCGGGTCCTCGTGGCGCTCGTTCATGACTGCGTAGCGCATGGTAGATTCGAAGAGCTCCCCGGGATTCTTATCACGTAGGTCTTGGAGCGCTTTCTGGAGCCATGGGGGAGTAGGAGGCTGTTATGGGTCAGATATGACTACATGGAAGCAAGGAGACATCTTACATGTTGTGAAGCGGCGGGCGTCGGCCAAGGAGCTTCCAATGAGCCATCCGGCTTATAGTTCCATTGCTTGTTCGGTGTCGTTGGTGTGGGTGTGGAAGGTGGCCTCGGCGAAGCTTCAACGGATGTCGGTACTGTCGGTGTGGAGCGGGAAGGCATGGCGGGTGACGGTGGAGGAGGCATCGAGTTTGCGGTAGGCGTACCCCGCGTTGGTGGTTGCGAGAGTGTCATCATGGGAGTTCCAGCGGGCTTTACGAAAGCTCTTGGATTCCTTACCCATTCCCTGAACTTTGCGGGCGTTATGCGGAGTTTGACTATTAGTGACGTGGGTTCAGATACGCTCTCTTCCCGCGCTTCATACCGTAGGGACCTCGACGCCCTTGGCTCGTGATGGGGTGTTTGGATATTCGAGACTTCGGGAGTTGCTGATCTTCCAATGGCGGATCGCATCGCAGCTTGAGCAGCAGTAGCAGCTCCGCGCATACCACGGGTACGAGCAGTGCCTCCAGTCATCAATTGAGCAGGTGCGGGAGACTCCATGACTGAATCATCACTATCTGAGTCGTCTGAGCTGCCATCAGCACCGCGACGACGGCCTTCTCTGGCTTTGCGCGTGGCCTTGAAGAGTTGACTGTCCTCAATCGTTTCCGCAGCGCCAGGCAGCACTGATGAAACGACCAACGTCCGAACAGTCCGTTGGCGGTCTTTGAGGTCTGGCAGGGCAGGACCACCGCGTCTGTTGACAGAACGCTTCTGGCGTCGCTGTTCGCGCATGATTGAAAGTTCGGCTCGCTCCAGGTCCGCATTGCTGAGTTCGTAAAGGTAGGGTTGGTAGTCCTTTGTTGACTGCATCGGGCGGAATACGGAGGGGAGTGGAGATGCCAGGAAGTTGTCTTGTATGTCTGTATCCTCGACTGGTCGCCCGTCGAAGGGATGTCCTGTGATGTAAAGACTTTTTGTAAACATCTGGCACTGCTCTCTTATGGAATGTGCGATTGCGGTTGTGAACTCTCCGGATAGTGACAAGTCGGCGGCCATCTGTCTCGCAAACTCCTCAGGCGCATTCAGAGGGTTGTTGATCTCCCACTCGAACTGGTCTACGAGGGTGTGCTGGCCAATGGTAATGTTCAGTTTGATCAATATCCGCATCTCGTCGTTCTTGTATGCCGAGTATGGCTGATGTGGATCCAGTGGCTCGTCGTCGAAGAAGGCGTGGGGGTAGTAGTCTTGTACCTGCTCGTGAATTTCGCGATCGATTTGCTGCATTACGTTCTGGCGCAGTTCGGGCGGTATTTGGAAGTCTTCGACGAGGGTTTGAGCGAAGAGCACGGGGTTGGTAACGCGGTCGTGGAGGTTCCAGGTAAAGGTATCGCGAAGCTTCAGTCTATCCAATTCGATATCCAAGCGCACAGGAACAAGCTCCTCAATCTGGTCTGCTTGCTGGAGCCCCTTCTCTTTCGAAACCTTGAGCTGCGGTGCGAGTCGACGGCCAGCGCGCTTGGCATTCTCAGGGTATAGCAGCTTGGTTTGCGGTAGGGCGCGCGGGTCTCTGGGGTCGGGAGGTATCTCGGTCAGGCCGTTGCCGTAGCCAGCGTAGCCATATCCAAAGATGGCGCCGGGGTTCTGACGTCGGACCGGATATACTTCGTCGCGGTAGAAATGGCGCAGGTCGTTGAGTTCGCCATACACCTTCTCGGAATGTTTGTTGCGCTCGTACTTGTTTACGCTATCCAAGAGGTCGCGCTCGATGTAGCGGTTGAGGAGATGCGTCTGCGAGGCTGTGGGTTTCGCGCCGTCGTCGTGGGAAGGCGTGTGCGATGACTTGCGGGTGCCCGAACGCGATCGCTTTCTGCTGGGCGACGCGCCGTTGATGGCTTCGGGTTGCGCGGGCGATGCCATGTCGCCTTGCGCGCCGGCGAGGTTCAGACCAGAGGCGGCCATGACGGCCTTGGCTTTCTGCTTGCCGTCTCGGATCGCGTTGTTGTCGTTGGACGCGCCGTCGGGTCCATTGATGCTGGTCGGGGCGTTGGCGGGCTGGACAGCACCTTCACTGTTGATGCCGTTGGTGGACGCGCCGTGGGCGGGATCGAGGGACTGAGAGTCGGCTAGCGGCGGGGAGGGCATCGCGTAGGAACTGTGGATGCGCGCAGCAGGAGCGACCTGCGTGTTGCTGCCCTGGTTAGAGCCGAGGCATGGAGGCTGGAAAGAGTGATGGAGGCTCGAGTGGGTCAATGGGCGTCCCAAGCGGTCGCGCCTGCCAGAAGAAGGGGGCGGACGTGCGATGCGATGGCGACAGCAACACCCGCGCCGCCATCTCCAGAAAGCGCATGCATCGCGCTGCGATCACGCGAATAAATAGCAGCAATAGAAAAAACACATACCTTTGGGAGCATGCAATTTGCGCGTCGTCACAGGTCACAGGGCTGGGCTGGGCCTCTGTTTGGCTGTCCAGGGAAAGAAGTGCCGATCGGGTAGTCAAGCGCGCAGCAGCCCGTCTGTAAGCCTTTCACAGGCGAGAGTATTGGCAGGAAACCTAAATCGGCGAAACACCTGCTGCGGTACCTTGGGCGGGGTCGCGGCCGTGGATAAGCTCGGAATGATGTGTTGTGTGTCAGGCAGAGGCATTGATGGATTTGCGCCTCGCTCCCACTTCCCGCCGCTTGCGAGCGCCGAGCCAGCCAGCCCATGACCACACTGAAGCTCGTCGGCACGCACCCACGCACCCAGCGTCTCTGCCCGGCGTGGTTCTATTTACTGAAGCAGAGGCCATGCTCTGCCGACTGTTCCACATAATTACACCTGCACTCCATCGTCTCCACGCAGCCCATCACGTGTGACGCCATGACGAATGCTAGCGCCTACCTAGACCGGTAAGCTCAGAGGAAAAGCCACTCGTGTAATGCAGTGGACCTTGTTCGTTATCGAATAAAGGTTGTATTTTATGGAAAGACCCGCCTAGTAGAAGAAGATAAGAAGCGTCTGGTAGTACACCTCGTCACCGCACTCTGACGCCCTCGCCTCCAGATCCATCCTAGTTGCATCAATGCTAGAAACTGACAATACCTAAACATTTCCATCCAGTCCCGGCCCGGACACGCCGCCGCTTACAAGTTCGCCGGCTATATGCGTCTGCTTTGCTTGCGATAGATACTCAAACGTGCAGGTTCGCTGCTGAGACGTGCGCTCCCCTGTTGCTCAGTAATATCGCGGCTCTCGTTGTATTCCCTCCGCTCAAAGCAGTGAGTCAAGTCGAGTGAATACACTCAAGCATGCTGCGACAACCTACGGTAAAATAGTCAGCGCTCTGTCATGTTGAAGGAAAACAAAACAGCGATTGACTTACCTCAAGCTGGAGCTCCTTATCCTTGGAACCGTTAACTTCGTCCGTGATGAGCTGACCCAAGTTTGCGCCCACACCCTGCGAGCCACCCTGCCTCTTTGCAAACGGCCACTGCGAATATTCTGCCAGCAGCTCGTCCACTTGAGCAAAAGCCCGTTCCCGCGCTTCGTGACCCAGCGTTGTCAGGGCATTCTCGAGGACGTTGGCGGCATAGGCGGCGCAGACCATGGTGATTGTTCGGAGCACTCTGAATTCCAACTCCTCGGGGAGGAATTGGCTGCCGGGGAGGACGACGGTGCGGTTGGTGAGGACGTTCCGGACTCTGCGTCGAATCTCCTCCTTTGCGCCTCCGTCTGCGACGGGATGTGTAGCCATGTCGAACAGGAGGAAGTTCTTCTTCTCGGTGCGCAGGATGCCCTTGTCGACGAGGCCTTTGCATAGTCGTTCGCGTACTTGTTTTAGTTGGTAGCCAATCTTCATGAGGTTCCACGTCTCTCCTGTGTGTGTAGTTAGTACCGAGCACCAGCCTTGGGATTGCGCGCCGCAGACGTACCGCTCATGAGGTCGATCCACGAGTTGACGCTCATCTTCTCGCTCGACTTCATCATCTTGAGGGCCTCGTCCAGCAGAACCTCTCCGGTCAACGTGTCGTCAATAACCTCGATGACCCGGTCTGCGAGGGGGAACCGTCGCCGATTCGAGTCCTTTTGCATGCTCACGCGGCCTCGGAAGGCCAATTCTATGACAATGCAGCCTCGCAATGCATACGAGATGTTGTCGTTCCAGAACGACAGGTATCCCTATTCTCACTCATCAGCCTGCTGCCCCCTAGCCCACCAGCGCCCTGCCGTGTACACACCTGTTTGTCCTTCAGCCCCATGAGGATGATTTCCTCCATGAGCGTCAGCTTGGGCTGTTTGCTCCTCTCTGCATTTTCGCTGATGTCCCGGGGGTCGAATGCGATCTTGTGGCCATTCTCGGAGCTTTCGTAGGAGGTTTCGGGGGTGCGGTCGTCGTTGCGCTTGGGTGCTGGCGAGCTGACCCGGCTGCTCTCGTCCTCGCCGTTGCCGGCAGCGCCGCCGCCTCCTCTCCGGCGCGTCAGACCAGAGCTAGAAGCCATCAGGTGTGGTTGTGGAACGGGAGGGGGGTCTTGTTGAAATTATGCGTGATGCTCCTCAACGGGCGCAGGGATGAGGGCGCTTGGGCTGCGCATGCGCGGTGCCGGACTATGTGGGACTTTCGGTGAGTGCGATGTAGGAGAGGGTAGCGGGCACGGCGATGTAAAGAATAAGGGGTATCGCAAGGCGCCTGTGTGAGTTACGCGTTGGGGGTTGATTCTCGTGCCACATCAATCAGCGGACAGGGTGTCGGTCTCGGATGTGCCAAGATTAGTTACGCACGCTTCGGAGATCAAGTAAACAGGCGTCCAGCAACACAATAGCCAAAGCACTGGGAGGTGGATAGCGTCAATTCTATCAGAAGTACACGGTGCCGACCCAGGCGACTGTTTTACACGGGGGCATATATATAGCGATGCCGGTAGGACCGACTCTCAATTCCACATCCATCATCTCCAATCCAGCGCGGCTCTCCAATATAATTTAGTGAGCTGCGATGTGTTAGTTTGGGGCAACTTCGGGATTTTCGAGTTGCGACTCACCATCGGGCTGGGCCATGATGTAGTCCACTGCTTGCTTGACTGTGATATCATCAGTATGTATGTCTCCGACCCTGCATCTGAACGTACCGCTGTGGATGGCATCGGCCTCCTTGTCGGGGATCTCAATGCTGAATTCCTGCCTCACTGTCAGATTTGCCTTCCGTGTATCGTACGCGGACCGACTAACCTCCTCAATCGCCATGACCACCTCTACGGTATCCAGACTGTCGAGACCGAGGTCGTTGTGGAAGTGCGATTCGGCGTTCAGCTGCAAAATGTAAGCCTTTGTCTCCAATCCCTCACGCGCGGTTGGTAGCTACCTTGGAGGCATCGGTGACCTGCTTCTGCGTTAGCCACTTTCTAAAATTCCCGTCGCATAACCATTACCTTGTCGAAGTTCTTCAAAAGGTCCATTATCCTGCCGGTGACCTCATCTTTTGACAGACCGGCGCTCGCGGCGTAGCATCGTACGGCCTGGAAGTATACGGAGGGGTTCATTTGCTTTGGCTGGACGAAGGAGCTTCGCGCAACGGGGCGAGCCATTGCGGCCTGGCATCGTGGGGCAGCGCGGACGGCGGACCGGGCGGACCTGAGGAGTGCTGTTCGGAACATGGTGGACGGTTTAGGAGGGTGTCGTGCGAGGTAGCAAGGTCGGTGGTGGGTGTGATGTTGATGCTCGACTAGAACTTCAGACTAAAGTTACATTACGTTAGTCAGCCGTCAAGAGCATTTCCGTACGGGTGAACAGGCGCACCTTGTATTATCGCAACAGGTAACACGGATATCCGAGAAAGACTTGGAAATCATTCATATACCCTGCTACATCACCTGAGTCAAATTTCTGACCTCGGAGTTGCCTCCCACCGTTGTTGCCGTCATTGGACTTGTCGGCCAATCGCAGCCTCCGCGTTACAAGCGACGACCTCAAGTTTCGAGCTTGACGACAACCTCCATATCCGCCAGCAACCCCCCAACCCGCCAGCGACCCCACCACGCTCACAATGGCCAGCGCAAAGCCATTGACAATGTTGGCACGCAGCCGCCCAGCTGCCACGCTGCTCCGGTCACCACAGTTCGCGTCTGGACGCCTCCCCTCGCCCGCCACCGTCGCCTTCTTCTCTACCACCCTATCCCGAGCCGCCACCCCAGCAGGACCCCCGCCGCCAGGCTTCCGGTTACCCAAGCCCAAGCGATGGGATGAAGGAGAAGGTGCATTGGACCGCGCCGGCAAGTACTTCTTGCTCATGGAGATGTTCCGCGGCATGTATGTGTCGCTGGAGCAGTTTTTCCGCCCACCGTGAGTACCCCAATCAGCAGACTGTTCGTCTGCCACTTGGTCGCAATGCGGTAATCTGACGTTTCTGAAGATACACCATCTTCTACCCATTCGAGAAGGGCCCTATTTCGCCCCGCTTCCGAGGCGAACACGCCCTGCGACGGTACCCTACTGGTGAGGAGCGTTGCATTGCTTGCAAGCTATGCGAGGCCATCTGCCCTGCGCAAGCCATCACAATCGAGGCCGAAGAGCGCATGGACGGTAGCAGGAGGACCACACGTTATGATATCGACATGACCAAGTGCATCTACTGTGGTCTCTGCCAGGAGAGCTGCCCAGTCGATGCCATTGTTGAGGGTATGTCGACACGTTGCCTGAGTACGCGGATCAAGTGCTAATATGATATAGGACCCAATGCCGAGTATGCGACTGAGACCCGCGAGGAGCTACTTTACAACAAGGAGAAGTTGCTAGCAAACGGAGACAAGTGGGAGCCCGAGATTGCCGCAGCTGCTCGTGCGGATGCGCCTTACAGATAATGGACGCGAGCGATTTGGAATTACTGTACATATAAGGAGCGGTTGCGTCTGACACAGCCAGTCAGATTTCTTTTGTCAATGCATCAGTAAACAATACCAAGCTCACTGAGTCCATGTTCAAAAGGACACTGAGAAACATGGAAATGACGGACGTGCTATTGTGATAAAGTCTAACTAGATGCATTACTGTTGATTTGCAAGACAGCATTGGCATTGAACAAACATTCTCGAGAGAAGACAACCTAATATTCAAGATCATAATACTCCTAACGCTCATACGATGCCTGCCATGATATGGTATCAAACGCCAAATGCCTGCCTATAGTATGCATGCCGCCACCCTTTCCTTTTATATACCTTGATCCGCCCAGCCTCATGATCATCTCGCCTTGAATGTTCCCTCAAAGCCCGGTCGCTTGACCTTCTTGCCAGGCTTCTTGACCTTCTTTTTGCCCTTTTGACCCTTGTCGTCCTTGCGCTTCTTGAGGTTCTCCTCCCTCTTCTTCTGCCTCGCGGCCTTTCCTTGGTCGACGTTCGTGAGCCTCTCCTTCCACTCTTGCTTGCTCTTGTCCTTTTGTTTTTGTTGACGCTTCAAGCTCTTCTTCAGAAGGTTGACGTCGTCGAACACCTTCTCGCCCTGTGCTCTCTTCTTGGCCGCTAGCCATAGATCCTTCTCTTGAATATCCTTGCGCTTGTCCTCGTCGAAGGCGTTAATGCGAGCCTGTTTCTTTTGCGCAGCCTCTAGTGCTGTCTTCGCATCTGACTTGCCCTTCTTCTTCTTGGAGTCGAGGAATCCAGAGAGATTGCTCTCGAGCTGCTGGCCGTCCCATGCAATCTTGCCGAAGTTGAAGTTGCGCTCAGTCTCCGGCGACCTCGCCGGGAATACAGAAGGTGAGCCCGAACCGCCTCTTATACGTGCGAGCTGCTCCTCTGCTTGCTGTCGTGCCTCATCCTCTTTCGCATCCTGACGCATGGCCTTCTTCGCGGCCTTCTTTTCGGCTTCCTTCTTCCTGCGCGCCTCGATCAACTCTGCTCGGTTGCGTGCAGGGCGTCCATCTGGGCCGTCGGCCTTTCGCGCCGCGCGCATTGCCTCTAGTTTCGCGTTCAACCGAGCGCGGAAATCCTCATGTTTTTGCGGATCGATCGTGTATGGCTTCTTAGCCTTCTTCTGTGGCGCTTCTTCACCGGACTGGGGTAGTGAAGAATTTGACGAAGCGGCGGAGGCGACGGAGGCTGTGGAGGAGTTGGAATTGGCAGTAGTGGAGGGAGCAGTAGACTGACCCTCTTCGACGAGACCGGAGACGTCCAAGGCCTCTATGCGTTCGTCTGGATGTTCGAGTTCGTCTGCAGACGCGTCGTCTTCTTCGTCTTCGTCTTCATCCTCGTCATCGTCCTTTTCAGGCTTTTCGGCGGCGAGACCTTGGAACTGCGTTGGTAGCGCTTTCTTCGCTTCCAGCTTTTGCTTGTTCTTGGCCTGCTTCTCCTTCCTCTTTTCTCTCCGCTTCTCTGCTTTCGCCGCGTGCTTGGCCTCGGCCTTGGACAGAGTGACTTCTTCGGTCTCTTCGGCTTCTGGCTCAGCAGGCTGTGTCTTTTGCTTCTTTGCCTTGCTCTTGATGCCCTCAAGAGGCTTCTCCTTTGTGATGTCCATGTCAAGGTCGGACGACTCGGGCTCGGAAACCTCCTCACCCTCCAATTCACGCTTCCGTTTTAGCGCGTTCTCGTCCATGACGTCTTTGGCGCTCTTATGGGAGGCAGGATCCAGCTTCGCTCGCTTGGCTGCTTGTCGTTCTTCAAGAGTCTGCTTCTTGCCTTTCTTTTGCCATTGCGTCTGCGAACTTCATGTCAGCATAAGGTGGATGCCTAAGGTGAAAAGATGCATACGCTGGTGATGCTCTCATCCTTGCCATAGTAGTCTTTGGCGGGTATCAGAGACATGAGTCCCTCGAAGGCACGAGCATGGCTCTTTAGACGCTCCTGCAGCTCTCAGTTAGCGGCGAGAGCGAGCGACAGGAGGCGGGCCCGGTGCATACCTCGAGATTGTCGCCCATTGCGAGGACAATAGACACAGGATCCTTTTCGTAATGTGATATGCCCTGGTTCAGACGGGTAGAGGGCGTAGAGTTGGCGGGGCGAGCGTGTCGTGTGCGGGTCGCGAAAATCGAGGTCAAAACGAAAGCCAAGATTTCGAGCAGACTTTCAGCGCTAGGGCCCTTCCAAGATCAGACCCACCCGCCAATAGACCCTCGCCGCCCCAGCCACCGACCATTCAGGCTTAACGCGAAGCAGACTCGCGTGCTCTTTCACCAGCATCAGCCTCGCTGCCGGCAAGGTGCCGCGAGTCCATGGATGATGCGCGTCTGTCAGATCCGCTTGCCTCTCGCGCTTCACAACGATAGGCCAAGACAATTCATTTGTTGTACATGATAGTCGGTGGAGACGCGTACGCACAGCCACCCAAGCCCAAGCACAACCTCGCCGTCGTCGCCTTGTATATATCCTAGGCAACGCCCTGCTGGCAATCACCTGACAACTCCATATACTCAGCGCTATCTCACATATCAAAACTGCTAACACCTTCGCTCTAATGGCCACGCCGATCATCGAAGCCAGGTCTCTTTCATCGCTTACCGCTCTTGCCTCAAATCCACCAGCTTACCCAAGGAATCCTACTCATGAGAGGCATGACCCGCTAGTACTGTACATCGCCCGTGTTCCTGGCAGCAGAGGTACGGCTGTCAACATGTCTTCTCCTACAGTAAACCTAACGTGCTTCAGATGTCTTCTTATCTCCGATGAAGCCGCGGGAAAAGGTGGTGACCGCAGAAGACATACAAAGCTCACTCTATTTCGTCCACGTTGAGCAACCAGAAGATGCTTACCTTGTCGACCCTCCTGGATTCCAGGATCCAGATTATGCGCAAGAGAGCCAACTGTCTTCTAATCCCGTCTCTGCGCCCATCGTCCCAAGGAAAGCAGTACCCGGCATAAACACAGCTCCCATACGGAAGCCCGTTCCTAGCCCTCTGGCGCCTATCAATAATTACTCCAACAACCAGAACACTGATGCAGGCAACTATGCGCGGAGATCTGCAATGCTCGCCCCAGAGTATAGCCACAGCCCACGACGCTCATTCGATGCAAGCCAGTACCAACAGGAAAACCGACGACCGACAGCTTCGCCACGTAGACGATCGGAGAACCCGTCACGCTCCAGTGCATCGCTCACCCTTATCCGGCGAGACCCCGCATCTGGAGCGCAATGGAATGTTGCTCGCATTGAGGATCCACCTGTCATAGATGTCTCGTCGACATTGAATGATCCTAGCATCAAGAAGAAGATGGGAGCACCGATTTATATCGAAGTCTTCAATCCTGGATACTCAAAATTTCTGCATTCCGACACTACTGACAAGCCCCCTTTAACAACACGGGACAGTGGCATGTCTATCCAGTCACGTAACGCAGGGTCAGAACAGCAGACGGGGGCTCATCTGTCTACGAACGAGAACGTGTTCCGTCGACGCATTTGGATGGAAGGATCGCAGCATATGGGCGGCTTTGGACATCGGAAGCTCAGTTCGTATGACTACGATACCGGACGTCCTGACTCAAGGGGGAGTTACCACGCGCATGCCAACTCTACGTCGAGAGACATGAGACCTTCTCCGACCCCTCCATTTGTGACTAGGCAAGACCAGTCATATGCTAGCATCCAGGTCTCGGATGGGCAAACCAGTTTTCGTGGTTATGTGTTCACAAGTCCGTGGAACGGACGATGCGAATTCACCACCGGAGTAGGCGGGGGATCTTTGAAGGTTATACCACTCCTGCCACATTTACGATCAATGGATGATGCTAAATACCCTGCAGTGTCGACACATTGTCCCAGGGCTTCAAGGAGCGCCGCCCACAGCCATGACGGTTAGTGAGCTACGTTTCAACCTCCCGAGTAGTCCCAAACCCACTACACCCAGAGGCGAAGAAGGCTCAAAACGCTCGTCATTCTTTCGGAAAGCACGACACAGCCGCAACAACTCCTCTTTATCAGTCAGTCGCGATGACACCACCGAAGACGCTAGAAGTTCGTTGGATCGCTTAGATCTTTCTTTAGGCCAGGAATTCGCAGGTGGCGGGTTTGGTGGCAAGCAAGCAAAGTTGGGAAAGATAATTCTGGAAGACGAAGGCTTGAAAATGATGGACTTATTAGTCGCAGCGAATCTGGGATTGTGGTGGAGAGCCTACGAGAAAGCGCTTGTAAGTGGGGGCACTACAGATACTATACAATAAGCTGGCGACGACCGAAACTGTGTTGGAGTATAGGATTCTTATAGTGCAATCCCGGTGTCACCTTTGAGAGGGTAATTATCGTGGTGTCTCTCTTAGTTTCAAACGGGTCCGAGACGACACTGCTTATGGCGATATGCCACCTGATGTATCAGACGATATGTATAGTGAAAGACCCCTCTGACAGCGCTGAACACGTAGCATCGAGCAGTCACTTTGAGTGTCTCTACATGTTCTAGAGCTGACTTGGTCATGCTGGTGACTTTTCACGGCTGTTTCTCATAACCTATAAAGGTAGGTTGACGGTAATCACTCCCTTATTCACCAGTCCACTTGCACGCACCCCTCTTGAGATCCTCTTTAGAACCAGCCTCTGACTTTCGCATCTCCATTTCAACAAAGGCCCTTGATCGCAATCACACCGCCACACACGTTGAACGTAGCAGAGACACCAAGTCGATCAGCTTAACAGTCAAGGATGGCACGTCCTAAGAAGGCGAGTGTGCCCAGAACGTCGTCCTTGTCCGCTGAACACGGACGACGCAAGACTCGTAACAGTGCCCAGACTTCCCAAGTACTGGCTGAGCTGGAGAACGACGTCTCTGTCGAGCAGGAGCAAGAATTAGAAGATGCTGATACGGCTCCACCACCGCAGCTACCCAGGAAACGCGGCGTCACTGCTCGTACAAGGTCCAGCGCATCGCAAGAAGAGGAGGAAGACATGCTCGACAACATAACTCTCGCTCTACCGATCTCAAAGCCAAAGCAGAAATCGAAACCCAACCTGCCCCTCAAAACACCTGGCGAATCCGACCATGTCGTACTCAAAGATGAGGCTGATTGCAATAATTTCCTCACTAAGGCTGATGGATCCGAAGAGTATCTGCGGGACATGAAAATTCTAGAGGTTCATCTCGATACAACTAAACTGTTCGGATATACGGAGGACCGTTTCGCAATGGCGTTCAACAAGCTACACCCTCGGGGCGACAACGCTACCAATCCTCACGACTTACAAACCCTTCGTCTAGTCATAAAAGGCAATATTCTCCTCACTCGTTACAGCTACCATCTCATATCGCCATTCTCATCTGCCTTTGTAAACGACAAACTGAAGAAGTTTGCAGACGGCAAGCTGTCCGACGAGGAGAGAGAGAAGCTACCCTACAAGCTCAACAGCACGGAGAAGCTTCTCGCGAACGCGCTAATGGGTATTCGTGGAGTTAAGCAAGTTCATATTGAGGGCAGAGGGAAAGGAACGGTTGAGGCAGACTTTGCTGCCACTATCAAAGCTACGTTGGTCCAGCCCCCGGGGACTGATATCTTGGAAGTAAGCGATGAAGAGTCCGAGTATTCCACACATGTCTTGAACAGGCTTGGACCGATTTATTCGCCTGCGTATTCTGGGGACGCGCTGAACCCATACGCTTCTCTGGCTCCACCGGAAATAGAGCTCGTGGACGATTCGGAGGAATCAGACGATGATGTGCTGGCCGCTGCTATCGCAGAACCGCATAAAAGTGTCAGACGCAGGCCGAAGGAGGATGATCCCGTCATAATGTCTGGGCCGAGAACGCGCGGAACGATGGCCAAGAAAGCTGGAGAAGTCGAGGAGAACGACGGGAATAGCGATGAAGAGGATGAGCACGGACACCCTGGCTTGGGACTCATAGAGATGGTCCGAATCTACAAGCAGAAGTCGCGTCCGGGCGATATAGATTCGGAGCCCAGGTACGACGTATTGCCAGTAGTCCTGACGGCGAGGGAGGAAGCGGTCGAAATGGGCTGGAAAGTGTAGCACTGTTTTCACCGGAAGTGTTTGGGAAAGTGAGACGAACAATTTCAGAGACGGATCGGAATTGGTTTAGTGAAACTGTGGCTCTCTGTCTTGCGTGTCGAAATGTATGTAGGTATTGTTTAGACGTATTCATGGATAGGTCTAACTTGCGTAGAAAAGAAGTACCTAGGTATAGTAGAGCTATGTCAGTGGAAGAGACTCCATTGACCATTAGTCAACATTAGCCCAGTCCCACAGGCCTGCTCAGCTTTTGTCTTGTACGATACTGTGCTGAAGTTGGTGCACCGCCACAGCGAAGTGAAGGTGGCACCTGGTGGGGTAACTGCCCGTCGTCCGTGCGTAGGTGCCTTGAGCTCGCGGGCGCGGAGAGCTATGTCACCTCCGCCTCGACAAACAACATTTAGTTGCGGCAACATTACACGTTTGTCCTCGCTATTCAACCAAATCCCTCCGTCCAGAACAGGAGCTCTACTGGAAAACGATTAGACACACTGAATCGGAAATACGCAGGCAATAACGATACGATACCCCACCCTGCATCGCCGCCTCCGCCTTGCCTACGTACTCGAACCACAAGATCCCTCCACACCGACGCGACAATGTCGGCCGAACTCACCTCTATACTGCTGTCGTTCCAGCCGGACAGCCCAGACCTCGCAAAGCGGCGCGAGTATGATTCTAAGGCTCGTTCATTTGTCTCGCAACTGAATAATATCCCGTCGTCACAATGGTCCAAGGGCGCGAATACAAACCAAGACGTTCTTTCGGTAAGGATAGCTGACGGCAACAACCTGTGTACCGCTGACTTTACAGATACTCAATCCCGCCGTGAACTCAATAGCATACGCCTTTGGTCTCCGCCACCGCATCTCCGCCATCCTCGAGAAGAGAAACGTACCCGATACACTGCAGCCCGGTGGTACGTTATGGAATCAGCTGGTGCTCTTCCTAGAGACTGCAGACCCT